TCGGAGCGGCCGGTCAGCGGTGTATGGCTCTGTCGACCGCTGTATTTGTCGGCGAAACCAAAGAATGGATCAATGATTTGGTGGAAAAGGCAAAGAAATTGAAAGTAAACGCCGGACACATACCGAAGACCGATTTGGGACCCGTTATCTCTCCCGAAGCCAAACAACGGATTCTGTCTCTCGTCGAAAGCGGTGTCAAAGAAGGCGCTAAACTAGTGCTCGACGGACGGGGCTGTAAAGTGGCCGGATATGAATCGGGAAACTTTGTCGGACCAACTATTCTGACTGATGTCAAGCCGCACATGAAGTGCTATACGGAAGAAATCTTTGGACCCGTTCTGGTGATACTCACCGTCGATACGTTAGACGAAGCCATTGAACTCATTAATGCCAATCCTTACGGTAACGGAACGGCAATCTTCACGACCAATGGCGCGATCGCTCGCAAGTTTACACACGAGGTAGATGTGGGTCAAGTCGGTATCAATGTTCCCATCCCTGGTATGTGTACAATAAAAACCATGTATTTATTGTTTATAACTTATTAATGGTTTAAATACCTTGAATGCAGTGCCGCTCCCAATGTTTTCATTCACTGGCAGTCGGGGCTCATTCCGAGGCGACTATAATTTCTATGGAAAAGCGGTATTTATTATGCAAATGGTTTTTAAATATAAGTTAAAACTAATTTGTGGCAAATTCATTATAAAGGGTATTAACTTTTATACACAATTGAAAACTGTTACTCAGTTGTGGTCACCCGAACACCACTCGTCCGGAGCGACAACTAATTTCCCGGTTATGAAGTAATCACTTGTATTGCGAGCTTTGGATTCAAATGGAGTTTACAATTGAAATCTCAATAATTATAAGATTTATTAAAAGTTTTTTATGACAATTTCGTAAAATTTTAATTTTGTTAAATCAATGTTAAAAATAAAATTATTTTTAAAAAGTTTTTCATACATTAGGCAGTAGTCTATTGACGCGACAAAACTGTATTAACAGTCGATTAAATCGGAAATAATTGCATTGAAAATTTCATAAAATAGTTAATTTTTATAAAAACATTTTAGTAATAATTGCGATACGATTTAATTGTAAGAAATAACTGATTAAAAGGCAGTTATTATTTATTTAGTGATTGATTGCATTTTATGTAAATTATCAAAAGTTTGTCAAAACAATAACACCTTGAGATTAGAAGTGATGCAAACCATGCACTCATTTCATAACTCTCTCTCTCTTTCTTTCTTTCTCTCTCTCTCTCTCTCTCTCTCTCTCTCTCTCTCTCTCTCTCTCNTCTCTCTCTCTCTCTCTCTCTCTCTCTCTCTTAAATTTATTTTGTTTGATTCGTAATGCATTTTAAGGTTAAAAATAAAACAAAACTATAATTTGAATGCAAAGCGAAAGAAACATTTATTGAGTTAACATTTAAGACATAAATTAACACTTAAAGACATGACATTTAAATAAGTTTGAAAACACACATAAATTGTTGAATAGATTTATTTAAATTAGATTACATTTACAGAGCATTTAGTGTTTGATTGGACGACAAATTGTGTATTTAATTGACAGAAATATTAATTGAGTGAAAGATTTAAATCATTTAATGACGAACTGATTGAACACAAACTGAATTGAAGCGGTATTTATAAGATATATTTCCATAACTCATGTGTCGGTATATTAAACGGACTAAACCTTTGGGATGCGGTCAGCGTTTAGTATTTTCCGTGTCCTCCGTAACCATAAGCGATCACTTTGGTTGGCTCGGCGTACGAGGCGTGATGGATGTTCACACCGTATGAGCCACTGATTCCGTGTCCGTTACCATAACCACCGTTTCCGTAACCGTAACCGTTTCCGTAACCACCGTTGTAACCACCATGGTTATAACCTCCGTGTCCGTACTCAGCCTTTGCGTATCCGACAACCGGTCCGTGAGAAACGATTCCGTGACCGCCATTGATGGACACGTCTGCGGGATCTTCTTTGGAGTCAACGCCGGGCTCATTGGTCTTAATGCTAGCGCGGAATCCGTGAGCGTCGGCCACATAGTTGACAATTCGCTGTCTGCCGTCGTGATCGGTCAGACCGTATGAACCGACTTGAACGCCATGTCCTCCCTTCTCCTTTCGGAAGGATCCGCCGCTGGCGTGGTTTTCGTCGTATGAAAAGGCATAGTTTCCGTGACCCTAAACACACAGTACAATGTTTACACCATTTAATCAATTCATTTGCCAACAATTAACAGTGACTTTAATTGTATGAATACAAAGAATAACTTACGTCATCAGATCTGTGGACATTTGATGAGCCGGTGTTGACGTGTCCGTGATATGGGACGGCCTCCACACACATCACAATAGCGACGGCCAAAAGTGCGAAAACTTTCATTTTTATGGGATTTTTTTTTGGTGACTCTGCTATGAATCTCAAGAAAGTTCAAAACGAATTGAAAGAGTTTAACGAATCGCTCGCTATATATATCCAAATTAAATGATCACATGTTTCACGTCATACACACTCCTAAGACCAGAAGCGAACGACGAATGTTAAGACCAAATAACTCGACCTCAAGGTCTTCGGCTCGTAAGAGACGCCTTAAAAATCGTTGTCTTTGCGATCAGAGAAATGTAAGCCTAATATTCAAATCACACATTAATGGGTGGAGTGTTAACCTTACCGAATACACGGCAGTTTACACGCAATTTATCTTGTTTGTTTTTCATCTTAACAGCAAAAAATTCATTATACAATTATTGCAATTCTCTTCTTTTGTTTATTTCATTTCACTTTTTCTGCAAACAAATTCACCGATTCTTATGATTAAGTCAATCATTAAAATATGAATTTCAATTTAAATTATATGTTCTCATTATACTGTATGAGAAATAAATAGTGTAAATGTAGAAAAATAAAATGTGATATGATTTTAATTCAATGTTAAATGTATTTAATAATAAGTGATTGGAAGAGGAAGTAAAACAAAGTTTGGTTTTGAATTCAAGTCAAAGATTACTGCCATTCAATACTAATAAAGTCATGCTTTTAGCTGTAAATCCAATGAATTTATATATTTTAGTATTTTTTAATAAACTTGCAAATTGTTTGCATAAAAAGATATGTAACATATCATTGCAATAATACATGTATTAAATACGTGTTTCAATGCGTAAAATAGTTGGATAATAAAAAATAAGATTAATTTATTCACTATTTTTGTTAATCGCCTCAAACCGGGAGGAGAACCAAATCGTTAAATATTTATTGAAAACTTTAAAGTAAAAGTATTTCAATTTATAACCTCTTAATTGATTTATTATTAGTTCGTTAATTGATTATAACTATCGATAACAAGAAAGAATTTTTGTCGACAGAAAAAATCATTCATTTTTGCTGATAGAGAGGATGGAAAGGATGGAGAGGTGTTAGGGATGAGCCTTCAGTCGTCCCCTCAAAGCCTACTTTGCCTGCAGTTTGTTGTCATTCACAGTCATAGGAAACCATTGAATACAAGCCTAAAGAGCATATCGTTGTTGTTATCGCTGTTTAGAAATACGCTGTACTTTGACTGCTATTTAAATTATAGTTTCAATACTTTACGCAAAGTTTTCGGCAAAAAATATTTGACTCACTTTTGTTTGATTTGTTATTCAAATCAATCAGAAATAAATTTTTACTTTTTCTCATTTGAATTCATTTTGAAATCAAAACAAAAAACAATATTTTTATTAATAATTAGAGCGAAAAAGAAGAAAGTATTTGAAAAATAACACAAATTCTTGATTTTTGTGCCCAAAGTTTGTATGAAATTAATGTCTTTACTATTAAAACGCCTTTCGATCACAACTTTAAATAAGAGACAAATTTGGCAATACATTATAAATGTGTTCAATAAGTGAGACATTGATTGCACGCCTAATACTGACCATTCATTTCACACATTCATACCTTTCATCCCATTATCTCAGACCCGATGCGAGCCGTATAGAGACCGTCGGCGCCGAAAGAGCGGCCGCCGAATGGCTGCTTAAAAACGGGGCATCAGTTAAGTGGACACAAAGTAACCAATGGATCAAAGACTATAACACATTGGCTCTCGAAGATGGCAAACACAGTATCAAAGAGATTGACGCCACCGACTCGTCCATCACTCACATCGGCTTTGATCACCTCAGTATTGATCCCATTAACCATAATCAATGTCTAACAATATTACAAATAATCTAATTGTTTGCCACAAACAGAAGGTTTACAATCATTGGACACATTTGTGATCAAAAGTAACGGCTATATTGAGGACAAAGCGCTTGAAATGTTAGGCATTTGTAGCCAGAGTTTAAAACATTTGGAAATAATTAGTTGTATTGGAGTCACAGATAAAGGTGTACTCAGTTTAACACAATTAAAGTTAGCATTACTTACAATGTATTCCTAAGACAATCACTTTAACTAATGTACTTAATTTTTGACAGAAACCTAAAGTATCTGAAACTCTTTGATCTGCCATCAGTTAGTGACAGAGAGAAGTGTTTAAATCATCTCAAGAGTGGTCTTAATTGTGACATTGATTGGAAAGAAGTGAAACCACGGAAATGATTGTTTTCAATACCGGTAAAAAACAAAGGTTTAAGAAAGAGAAATACAATATTTAATTATATATTACTGTTATTAATACCACTAATCGTTTGTAATTAAGCGAAAAGTAAAACTAATTAATTGTTAATATATTAGAAAATATTACTATATATTTAGCGCATAATTAGCGGCAATAAAAAAATTCAATAAAAAACAGCAAAAAACTTGAAATAATTTATTTAAAACAAAAAACAATTTTCTTTGTAATTAAGAGAAATGTTTTATACATGTTATCAAAATCTTAGGCTTTAAATACAGTTTAAAATCATATGTTTTCGCAATCAATGAATGGATTGAATGATTAAATCAAACATATATTCCGACCGACAGAAGAAGGAAAACGGTTCCGAAGCCGAGAAAAGTGGAACCGATCAGTGATGTCGTCAACTCTTTAAACAGGTTTGAAGAGGACTTTGAGGTGACTTCGAGTGTGAAGAACCACGCCTTCGGACACAAAGCATGGCATCCATTAATGGTTGGATCAATTGGTCATCAATACAATCACTTACCATAAAGAAGACACCGATTATCAGCGATAATAGACTCAAATGCGGGTAAATTGTGATCGGAATCAACGGCTCGTACGAAGACAGGGCTAACACGTTGTCCAACATTATGACAGACAACCAATCGATGGCTAATTGGGATCAAAATGGGATCAAATGCTTCACCACTTCTTGGGATTAGGTATTAAAGCAATCGCCAAATCATCAAAACATTCATAAATAACGTCCGCTTTTAGACCCAAACCAACCCTTCGTTTGAATTCAAGGCTTTTTAATGCAAAATATCTGCAAATAAAGCACTCATTGTATTAATGAACGTATGTTTTGGACACCAATTATTGGTCCCTTTTATGGCAAACACTTTGCCATTGAATTGAATGCAAAAGTTATGAACAAAATAAGTACTGAATCGACGAATAGATGACTAAAACATAGCAAACATTGAATTGAATTCAAAAAAGTGGATAAAAAATGAGTTCAAAAGAGACCACAAATGAGACACAACTGATGGCCACCGAAGGTATACCCCATTATCACCGATCAATTGGTCGCTCAAATACTAACACTTGATTGAATCTCTCGAAGACGTGTTCAATGGCACCGATTTGGACAAAGACCTACTGCTCAGCGAAGAGCGTTTGGACAGAGCGTCGCCCGATCTCTGGCCCGAACAGAGTATGGCTTCAAACCCACCGACACTTCCCGTAAACACCCGCTAAAGACATATCTTTTTCTTTTTTGTGTCCATCAGTTCCGGGCGTAACGGAGTTTTTGGCCAACTCTTCGCCGCCATTGTTCGACACTCGGAACCAATCGAGCGAATGGTTGACAGACTTGGATCCGGACGACATCAATATGTTGCACGGCTTCGGGTCACTGACCGCTTCCGC